GCCACGTTCAGTCCATAGCAAGCTTTCAGAGTGGGCTCGGCTGCGCTGACACCTTGACGTTGGACTTGCAGCCTGCAACACGAAATAAATTCCTGTCCTTTCAGTCCCCTCCCTGCACTCGTGGTCCTTGTTACCAGACGCCCAGGGAACGATTGCACCCCTCGGCGCCCTCATTTTCTCTGCGTCCCTCCCTCCCGCATCCCGTCCTCTCCCCCAGCCTGAGATGGTCACGCGTAGTCTGATGAGCCCCACCTTTAAGCCCTGGGTGTGGCCGCCCCCGAGCTGTGGCTGGCGTGTCCTGTCCCTCCTGCCGCGTCCATTGGGTTCTGGCACGAGTCACTGTCAGTGAGCTCAGAGCCGACCACCGACGACTGCTGTCCACACCTGCCGTTCCGCCGCATTTCCTCTGGTCACTGTGTCCTTCCCGGTGGCTGGGCCTGAAATCTTGGGCTCAGTTTTGACGAAGCCCCCAGTTTCTCATAACACCGTGAATGTGATGCCTTAGCAAATCCCACAGCTACTCCTTCCGAGCAGGCTGGGGTTCTGAGCTCCCCGTGGCTGTTGCCATGCTGGTCCGGGGGTTATGACCTTGCTCTGCCTCTGCTTTAGTCCCATCAACACGGCAGTCAGAGGGGGTGACTGCTGTGGATGGAGCACGTCTCCCTCACGGGCTCCTCGTTGCTGCCAGCTGTAAGCCCTATCTTCCCTGTGGCTGTCCAGGGTCGCCCAACGTGACCCCAGTGCCCCGCTGCCCAGTCGTGCCTGTTCCTCCTCGGAGCCTGTCCCGTTGCTCTTCCCTGGATCACCCGTATAAGTGACGTAGATGACAGAATCGCAGTCGTCTGTCGCGGAGCGTTGGGGATGTGTTGGAGAAGTGAGTTGTCAGGCGATTTGGGGCTGTAGGAACATTATACACACTGAGCTGGCCGCGTGTGCCTGGGTATAGATCACGTGACGCCTGCCTTTCCTTATACCTCACCTGCTCTGCAAGACCTTCCGTCTACCTGACCCTTCTGGCCTGCTTTCTACACCTCCTCCCTGCTTGCTTGTTTGCCCTCTCCTTCTCCCTGTCTGCCGTTCCGCGCACTTTGCTCGTTAGCGTTCCTATCGTGAGGCCCACACCGGGGGTCAGCTCGCTGAGGACAGGAGCTGGGACTGTGTTCAGTGCCCCATCCCTGGGCGGCAAGGTCTGCCAGCGGGCAAGCGTCCAGCCATGTGTGTGGAATGGGTGGCCCAATGAGGGCGTTGCTCACATGTTTTAGTTGAGTTTGTTATTTTCATAGTAGCTTAAGTTTATTTTACTCTTTTTTACTCTTAATCATGCCCATTCCCAAACAGAAGAGTAGAGAACAGTGTGACAACCACCTCAAGTACCTGTCACCTCTACTTCGCCATTGTTAAGTGTAGCCTGTGCACTTCACCTGTTTTGGAGGTGCGTTACAGATACCATGGTGTTCACATTTCTGGAAATCAAGGCTGTTTTCTGCTATGCTTGATGGCTGGGGAAGGCCCGTGGTGCAGGTGGTAAAAGAATTTACTGAGGACAGAAATGAGCAGAAGGAAATTTATTGATGTGAGGACCATGAGGGAAAGGTAGGACACTCAGGAGCGGGCCCCCACTAGAGCTCGGAGGGGATGGTTTCATGGTAGGGGACGGGGCGGGTCTGCTGCCCGCTTGGTAGCCGTGTCTGTGATGGTGAAGAGCAGCAGAGCAGCAGGTGTGGCTGCGTTCCTGGGAAACGCTGTTTTGATGTCTTGAAGTGCTGGTTGCCAGGCCTGAAACATGAGCAGTGTTCTGGTTATGGACTATGGCTGGACGTCCCTCCAAAGCCTCGAGCACTCATAAGCAGGGCTTTGGGGAGGAGATTGCTCTGTGGGGCATGACACTGGCTCATCAGTGAATGCTCATCAGTGAATTGATTAGCCGAGGGTTAGGTTTAGAGCTACGTGTGTGGTGTTGGGGGTGGAGCCTGGTCAGAGGGGCGGGGCCTGGGAGCTCCACCCCTCCCCTCTTCCTTAATCTGTCTGGTTCCTGCCCTGTGAAGGGTTCTTCTTGGGCATGCCGTTTGCCATGTGCCCTATCTTGGAGTCAGCCAAAACTCTGGACAGAAACCATGACAAACTGAGCTAAAACAAACTTCTCTTTGCTTATGGAGAAAGAAAGAAAGTAGCTTTGTCGTGCTATATTGTCACAGTACCCTTACCACACCCATTAAAACTGACAGGAATTCCTATTGTTATTTATTTATTTATTTATCTTTTTATTATTTTAAAGAGTAAAAGAAGGATAACATAGTAATGGGGGGCTTACCAAATTACAGACAAACTGGTAGGAAATTATCAATGGTTGTTGTTTTACATATTGTTATCTACAAGATAGTTTCTCAGGAAAACAAATAGACAAATAATAGTGAGTTACAGACAGAAGTGGTAGGAGATTATCAGTGGTTGTTGTACTATACTTTGGTATATCAAAGTGGTTTCTAAAGAAAATAAATAGAGCTATACATGAGTGACCAATTGAATATTCATTGACTTCTCAAAGGTTGTTGTAGGAAACACATAGTAATAAACATACATCCATTTGCGAAATAGCATAGGAACAATACAAACATTACAGAGTTATGGACAGATTAGTAGGAAATTATCAGTGGCTGCTGTAATACATGTTGGTATCTTCAAAGTGGTTTCTCAGGAAAACAGAGATACGCAAGAAAGATCTAACAAGTAGTTACAGGCTAAGGGTTGTGAAAATAGCAGATTACCTCCTCACTGGTGACTCCTTTCACTGAGGTGTGATGGCTGGATACCAGGATTGAAAAGAAGGACCGAGAGACTTGCACCTGTGTCTAGCAACAGGCTGTTTTCTTTTTCCTCTATAGTCATGATTACTCGGGGCTCCTCCATGGGATGACAGTCTGGCCAGAGGGAGAAGGCAGAGTATGCCCCGGGCCCCCTCATTCCTGTTAGACTAACTGGTAGGATGGGTCTGAGCTCTGGGGCCTCCACTTCAGAGGGCAGACCAATCTCCAGTGGTCACCTTTGCATTCAGGGCATGGCCCACGGGGCTTCTTAGGGCAATTCCTCTTGAGGTGGCCTGGCTTTTAACAGTAGTAGCAGATGAATGTAGTTATCGAGTTCTTCTTGGGGCCCCGAGAATCAGACTTAGGGTCTGTTTCTCTTAGTGCTGCAGCAAAAGCAGCTGCTTTTTCTTGGTCTCTTTGTTTTCTCTCCTTGGCCTCCTCCTCCTCACGGCTATAGATCCTATTGTTATTTGATACATGCCATTCATACTCAGATTTCCTGGCCGTCTCACAATGTTTTTTCCAGCTAGCCCATTCAGCATGGGATCCAGCAAGGAGCCACTCATTGTGCATCTGAGGGTCACTCAAGTCCCTTCTAATCTAGAGGCCCATGGTGGAGATTCCTCCAGGCCTCACTTCTTTCTGGGTTTCTTCCTTCTGAAATCATTTAGTCCATGTCCTACAAAGTGGGAGTGAGTGGTAAAGGCTGATTGGGTTGAAGTGTCACCCTTGAAGCGGCTTCTCTGTAGTGTGGGAACTTTGGGACTTATGAGGTTTTTTCCTTGAAGGACCTGGCATTTGTATGAGGATGCCCGAAGAGCTTGGATCTGTGTTCTGCAGTCCCTTTGGGATAATGACTCCCTTGAACTGCCAGATCCAAATCAGCCACCCCAGATGCAGGCCCCAGGGGCCTCTGGTGTCTGGAGTCGGGGAGGGTCGCCCTTGTGGTATAAGGGTAGAAGAGAGAGCTGTGCCTGGGTTGGGCGGTATGTGGTCTAGGTTCTACCTTCCCACCTGTGGATTTGGATTTGGGGCAAACAGAGAGCAGCTCTGGTTTTCCATTATTTTCCCAGTGTGGAAATTCATTTCTGCCTTGTTGGTGGCCAGGGTTCAACTCGTCTTCAGGAGAGGAGTGATGGTTCTCTAGAGGCTTGGATGCTCTAGTACCTTAGTGCTTTGTGTGTTGTGACTTCTGCCACTTAGGGCTTTTGTTTGTTCATTTCACAGATACGATAATGAACTTCCTTGTGAGGCTAAAGTTTAAAGACACAAGAATTTTGTAAGATGCACAGAGGACCTGAGAGTTACTCATGAACTTTGGAGCTGGAGGGAACTTCTGAGACCTAATTAGATAGGAAGTATGGTGATGAGCTGTCCTAATTTCCTTGGATCTTGATTTCTAAAGTTTATCACCAACTTAGTGTCCTAGTCCATTTTCTGTTGCTGTGCCTGAATACTTGAGACTAGGTAATTTATAAAGAAAAGAAACTAATTTCTCACAGTTCCAAAGGCTGGGAAGTCCAGGATGGAGGGCCTGCATCTGGTGGCAGCCTGCCTGCTGGTGGGGACTTGGTGCATAGTCTGGAGACAGTGCAGGGCCCCGCCAGGAGATGGCCCCCTGGCTTTTACCACAGACCCACTCTCGTGATACCAAATCCGCTCTCCCAGTAACCCCATAATCCATTAATGGATTAATCCACTAGTGAGGGCAGAGCCACTGTGACCCTGTCACCCCCCAAAGGCCCCAGCTTCAGATACCATTAACGTATGAATTTGGGGTTTAAGTTGCCAGCATATGAATTCTGGGGAGAAGCATTCAGACTATAGCACTCAGAATACTTATTACCATCTGGTAAAATAGTTAGGATGTAAAGAGTATGTCCGTCAGCTTTTACTGGTCATGAATTAAGAACCACTTATGTTACCCAGTGGCATTTTTAGGAAAAGCTGCAATCATCTAATGAAATGACCAATTACCGTCTTTTCACGTCTCTTTTTCTCCCTTCCTTCTTCCCATTCCTTCTTCCCTTTCCTTCCTTCCTTGCTTCCATCTTTCCTTCCTTCCTTCCTTCCTTCCTTCCTTCCTTCCTTCCTTCCTTCCGTCTTTCCTTCCTTCCTTCCTTCCTTCTTCACTTCCTTCCTTCCTTCCTTCTTCACTTCCTTCTTTCCTTCCTTCTTTCCTTCCTTCTGACACAGGAAATCCGGGATCCATTTATGCAGTGGCTGGGGAGACGTGTGGATGCTGAAGGAGTAATAAAATCCAGCAAGCTCTCCCTTAAGTTCGTTTCATCTTACACACCGGAAGTGGAAATCACCCCGTCTTCTGTACCTGTGGTCACCGATGCAGAGGCCTTCTCATCAGAACACTTTAACTTAGAGATCTATGGGCAGAATCTGCAGACCAGACACCTCGGGAAGATAGTCCTGTTTGCTGAAGTGACCACCACGACCATGAGTCTTCTGGATGGGTGAGTCCAGGGTGGCCTCGGGCACCACTCTGAGAAACCAGCGTGCAGGTTCTGCCCTGTGACCCATATCGGGGGTGGGAGTGGGGAGTGGAACATAATACATTTTGACAAACCCACTAGCTAGGTATGTGTACTCCTGACTTCCAGGAACTACAGTGTAGGAAGCAGAGTTAAGTAAGTTCTTTGATTAGAGATCTGTATTTTATGGTAAGAGAAACACAGATCTCTTTGGAGGTTTTTTTTTTTTAAATTTGTTTGTTTTGATAGAAGATCTCAGGCTGGCCTTGAACTCAGTATGTAGTGCAGGCTGGCCTCAAACTCATGACAATCCTCCTGCCCCAGCTTTCTGAGTGCTGGAATTCAGGTGTACACCACCACACCCAGCAGATGTGTTTTGTGGCTGTCTCACTTCCCTTTCCAAGTGTCATCAGGCCTTTCCAAGTGTCCTTGGAAAAGAGAACATTATGAAAAAACGTTTCACAGGTGGCACTGTTTCGCAGGTTGCTGCTTTACTTTTGTGCTGTTATAATCTGTGTTAAGTACTTACTTTAGGGTGTTTTGCAGAGGTAGTAGTACTGCACATTTGAGAGACTGAGTTAAATTGAAATATGTTGGAGCTTTACATTTTCAAAACTGTTCTGGTGTGTTTGTACCTGGTGTATTTTGTCAGGCACCCTGTAATCCCATTTGGATATTTGAAATTTACTTTTAGTGCAGGTTTCCCTTTTTTCCTTCTGTTCTGTAGACGTAAGTTCCTCAACTTGTCAGGGTCCATAAATACATTTTAGTTTAAGAATTGGAGTTACAGAGGGAGGAAATAGAAGTGTCTTCCCTCAATGTAAGACCAAAATTTGAGGAATGGAAGATTCCTCAAAAATAATAGAATTTGTAGTTTGTAGGTATTTATCCATTAAACTGCGTATATAATTCACATGTGGAAGTATTTCTGCCTTTGTTCTTCATTTCTGGAATGTAATATGTTGATCTAAAATGGTAGATAACTGACCAGGCATGGTGGCTCATGCCTGTAATTTCAGCACTTGGAGGCTGAGGCAGGAGGATCACTGTGAGTTTGAGGCCAGCTTGAACTACATAGTGAGACCTTGTCTCAAAAACAAACAAAAAAGGTAGGTAACTTTAGCATGTTTTGACGGTTCACACCCAAGGTCATCAGAACAGCAGCACTAGTGTGTGGAGTCCAGGAGAATCGGCGGAGGTGGGCAGGGTGGCGAGGGCACCGTGGCTGGGTTAATCACCAGCTTCCACTTACGGAGTTAATTTGTGTTGTCGTAGGTATTCACTTCATAGAGGGAGAAGCCTGTTCTCGTAGGTGGAAGGATCCAGACTTGCTTGTGATATGGCCAATATAATCTTGTTTTTTTTGAGACGGAGTTTCACTCAGCCTCTTGAGTGCTGGGGTTACAGGCGTGCGGCACCACGCCCGGCCAGTGATCCTGATTCACTCAGGAGAAGGCTGTGTTTCATGTGAAAAGGCACAGACGGTTTAACAAAAGACTTCTAGGAGGTGAAGTTTGGTTAGAAACATACCAGTACTTCCGGACCATCCCTGTCCCTGTGGTGACAGCGAGGAGGACTTCGTTTCGGGACACACGCGCCTCGCCCCGTCGGAAGTGTGGCTGTCGAGCCTGTGCCGTGGGCAGCGCATTCCGACAGGGCGGCGTGCATCCTGCCAGGGCTTCTGTTTGATCAGCTGCTTGAGTTTTATCCTGCTGTCCAAGCTATGTTTTATGACCGGGCACACTTGCGTGCACACGCACACACGCACACACATGTCCTGTGTAAACACACTGCTTCAGCACTCTTGAGTATCAGTAAGTTCTTTCTTCACATTGCGCTTAAGACAAAAATGCTGCCCCAAGCAAGTCAGTTGTGTGAAAGTATGCGAGACGCTAAAGCCGAGAGCTGCGCTTGTCAGTCCCAGAGGCAGAACCTTCCCTAGGATTAAGGGTTCTTATTTTATAAAAGAGAAAACTATTTTACCCTCTCCTAGGGCATCCAGCCTTCTTCCTCTTCTTTGGTCCGTGCAGAGTGCAGAGGATGGAATGGCTCTGATTATTAATTGTTAACCCCCTGCTGGCTCCGGGGCAGCCGTGACTCAGCGAGCCTGCTCAGAACTTCCTGGGGCCGTGGCTGTTTAGGAGCAGGTATTTAAAGAGGACCTTGGGTGTCAGAAGGACCCAGAGTGTCCATAGGGGGATCATGGGAGAGGTCCTTGAAACACACAGACAGTTATGTGTCAAGAATACAAGCAAAGTTCTTCCTACCCCCAGTGTTTATCTGCTCGCTAGGGAGGCAGCTTAGGGAAGCAGCCTGTGGGGCCGACGTGCTCCAAAGCTGTCTCCTGCAGATGCTGCTGCTGTGCTTTGCGTGGACGGGCCGATCTCACGCGTGATCTTCTGTGCCTTGTGGCGGTCAGACGCTGCTGTCCCTGAAGTGCATGGGCTGCTGTTTAGGACTGGCTGCGTGGGGACAGTTTGTTTCCAAATGCTCATAAAGACAGATGTGTGGCGCTTTATACCATGCATGCCACTTCGATGGGCCAGGCCCACGCTGCCTGGGTTCACTCCCAGGCTGATTTCTCTCTTCACATGTATGCTTCTGTGGCAGTTCAGTAGCTCTTTCCTAGTGGGTGGAAGGCGAAGTAAAGGTTAGGTTAGATGTAGGCCGTTAATTGTAAGATTCTTGGACGTTTTTCCTCTGTCAGTCCTCTCTCTACCTTGGAACATGTGTTAGCTAGAAACTGGGAGTTCTGTTCCTAGGAAGAAGTACATAGTGGGGACATCAGAAGTTCCTGCTACAGTCCCAGGTACCATGCACACTTTCCTTTCTCTGCACAGAAAAAGCTTATGCCCTCATTTGGGGTCTGGTTATTGTTTTGAAGACTGAAGAGTCACAGCACTGGACAGGCCAGCCTTACGGATTCTGTGGAGAGGTCTCTTCCAGAGCTTTACTTGGCCTCTAGTCAGTTTGCCTGACTGGTTCCACGTGAGTAACAATCAAAGATACTGTACAACAGATTTTAAGCCCGAATTCTCTGGTCTTTATAAGGCCTCAGTACTCTGCTCTGCCTGCATACTTGTGGCTCCCTTGGGCTGAAGGAATCAGTGGGCTTGGGTGGAACCAGGCTCTGGACCTCAGGCTGGACGCAGGCTCTTGGTTCTCTCTGGTGAAACATCTTTTTGCTGGTGGAACAGCCCTGTTGGTTCCAACTTAGACTGCCAGTTGCAGACAGAGAACTCAGAAGATTTGTCTTCTTTTCCACCTTTTTCAGGTGGGATAGCTCTAGGTGGACATTCGTCTCATCCAGTTTTGACGAGGGTGTTCAAGAAGATGGCAAACATTGATACTTTGATTTTTTTCAGAGCTATTTCTTATAGTTAGATAGCTTTTAACAGACAGCCGGTCTACCTCCCACATTACAGACGTGCTGGGTCCCATTGAATGCTCGTCTGCTGCATGACAGCAGTGGCCAGTGATCGGTCGCCTTGTGGGACTCCTGCTCTTCCTGCTTGCTCCCTCCCCAGCTCCTCCCCATCAGCCTGCACTTTCAGGCCTCATTTCTGGGAGGCACACACAAGCTGTAAGACTTAGCACACCTCATGTAGGCACCTGTGTCTAGCACTAGGGATCCGTCAGGCAGGATTAAGTTCTGCTGTAGGAGATAGATATCCTTGAATAAAGGTGACTTAAACATGCAGCATGTTTCTCTCCTTGTGGCTGAGGAAGGCTGAGGTGTGTGTATTGGGGGTTGTTGCTGGCTCATGATGCCGAGGACCCTGTTGAGTCATCCTGCAGCCTTAGGACATGGTGACCAGGCATGGATGTTCTCGTCATAGCCAGGAAGCAGGCTATGCTCCATCCCAGAAGGTGCGCCTGACCTCTTTGTTCCTAGCCCTTGACCACAGCCTTTGCACATGACCTGCATACAGAAAAAGGCCAGGAAATCGAAGGGTCTCTGTATGCAGTGTCCATGAATCCAGCTGAAAACCAGGCTTCTGTTACTAAAGCGCAGTGCGGTAGGCACCAGGGGACAATTTAGTCTTTGTCATGGGCAGGGACTTCTAGTTTTCTCAGACTTCTAAGAAAAACAGCCGGAGACCCATAAAGTAGTGTGTGCACTGTCACAGCCCCAGTGCCCCCTCGATTCAGGGTCAGGTGTGGAGGTGATTTCTTGACGTGTCACATTTGTTTTGATTCACTGCACGCTTCAGACCATCGGAGGCATTTGTCTTACATTATGGTAAATCTAGGAGGATTTGGAAGTTTCTCATCTGACAGACATTTTGGTGAACACCATATTTTTCTCTTTGGATTGCAAACCTAGCCTCGTTACCGTGGTGCCCGAGTAGATGCTGAAAGCTTTCATTCTGACCCCAAGCAGGACGAGCAGGCAGGTCTTGACGCTGTGCACCGCCTCCTTCTCACCCTCTTCCTCCTCGTCCTTCTGCCTCCATGGCGACTTAGAGGCCACGTTGGTGATTCAGAAGGGGAGCAGCAGAGAAACTGGGGATGTGCCACGGTAACTGAGTCAAGGCAGTGGAAGGATTTGTGGCTTCCTCTTCTGGAAGTGAAAACCAGGTGCCATTCCCCTGGTGTTCTGACTTGGCTGTGTCCCCGGTGCCTTGGGGAGAAGAGGATCTTCTGTCCTTATCTCACCTTCTCTGGTGTATCTTTCTGGCCACAAGATGCTTTGCCACTCCATCATCAGAGGAACATCTTCTGGACATGAAGCTCCGTGGTGCTGGTTTGTTTGACTTGAGAGCCCACTGTTTTTCTTGCGGCGCCATTTCGTGGTAGGTTTCCCGTGTCCAGTAGCTCAGCCGGTGGGCGGGCCTGGGGGCTCAGGCTCGTGGCTGTGTCTGGGCCCGGCGCCTGCATTCTGTGTTCATGTCCTGCAGCTGCAGCCATCAGCAACTGTGAGCTCTAGGCAGTGGCGGGGTCAAGGCGGGGGTTGGATGTGCCTGCAGATCCATTGTCCG